ACCCCGTGTTAAATATTTCGTGGTTGCATGATTAGAAAACACATTCCGACTGTCACTTTCATGATCTGGTAAGCGACGCTCTGATTGGTTGGATGATAGGTCGTTCTGACGTGACCCTTAATAGGAAGTCCTCAGATCTTTGTTTAGCGATAGCGAGAACTAAGATCTGGTTTAAATGAGATTGGACTTGTTCGCAAATTGTAATTTGACATGTTAAAAAACTAGTCCAAAGTGCCATCTGATGTTTGAAGGCAATGTACAATCTGGAAAACAGTTTAAAGTCACTTTTCAAAGAAAGAAGACACGTATTGATATATATATATATATATTGATATCCAAATCAAGCTCATAAAGGGGGAACCCGACACACAGCGTGTCCTTAGAGAAAAACGTGCCATGGATTCCATGAAAACTGAAATTGAACTTTTACTACTGCGTGCGGTAGAAATATCTAACAAGCGATTAAAAACAAGAAATGGCATACAATATATGCCTCAAACGTCAACTCAAAAGAAGAAAATCCCTTCATAAAAAATCTAAGAACTGAGGGGAAATCCTCTGCTGATGTGGCAAAAATAAAACCACCCCAATCACATTCTGTGAAACTGACTCGCAGAGGTCCTCCAACACAGAACGGCACATTCAGAGGAAGCACAACTTCCCGGGGACGGAGACCCACCCGAACAATCAACATCACTCAAGGCAGATCTTCAAACCAAAGGAGACAGCAAGGCCAAGTTCGCCCAAGAAGTCCAAACCGAAATCGTCGGGGCCAAGGACAAGCCGTGATAACAGGCGAGGACATTTCCAAACTCAAGGACGTGGTCGAGATCGAAATGAAGATGGATATCCATGCTTAAATAAAAAGGACTATAATTATTTTTTTGTGACAGCGAGGATCCCCCAGGGAGGGGAAACTCAACAATTGAACCTAAAGTGATCAACTTATCTTGTGTAGATCTGACAGAGGAGGAAATTTCTATATTACTTAAAGGTATGAAGTTCACCCCTTCTCCATTAAAACAGGATTTACATGAACTAGAAACAGATATGTCTGATTTTTGTAGAAAATTGAGATTACTAAATCATTTTGATATTGATGCCAATAACGAAGATAATTCATTAGTTAGAAACAAAAGCACCTTCACTCCAAAACCTGGTAGTAACAAAGTGTTGGACAATGTTATTAAAGGACTCAAAGATTTACCCTTTACTGTAAACCCTCAAAGAGGTAAATCAAACATATAAAAAAATGAACGAGCAGCTCTAAACAGATTATCAAAAAACGAGTCAATTGTTATTAAAGAAGCTGATAAGGGAGGCGCTTTAATAATTATGGACAGTAATTATTACAAAGAACTCTCATTGGATATGTTAAAAGATGAATCTTGTTACAGAAAACTTTCAGACATTTCGGAAAAATCTGTATTACTTAATCTTAAAAGATTAGTATATTCACATTCTCGATGCCTTACTAAAAACGAAGAGGATTATTTAATTAATTTTGAATCGAAAGAAAGTAATTTTTATGGCCTCCCTTAAGTTCATAAGAGCACACAGATCCAAGAAAAATGTCGAACTTTGAATTCTGCTTATGTCAAAATAGCCCCCGTAAATGATTTAAAATTACGGCCAATAACTGCGGGACCCAAATGTTCCACACACAGAATCAGTGACCTTATGGATAAAGTGTTAAAACCAATCACTAAACATGTCAAGAGCTACATAAAAGATACCACTGATTTTCTGAACCAACTTCCCGCCTCAGTCGAAAATGATACAAAGTTGGTCAGTTTTGATGTAGTTAGTTTATATTCAAACATTCCCCATGATCTCGGCATAGAAGCTATTGAATACTGGATAAATAAACACCGTTCGGAAATCCGAGAAGACATTACCTCCGAATTCATTATCGATAGTATTAAATTTATTCTAAATAATAATACTCTTAATTTTGATGGTTCTCATTACAAACAAATTAAAGCCACAGCAATGGGGACAAAAATGGCCCCTGCTTATGCAACCCTTGTACTTGGTTAGTTGGAGGAAAAACTGTACTCAAAAATTGAAGAAAGATTCGGCATTGAATTTGGACAGGGATTTCAAGATAAATGGAAAAGATTTATGATTGATTTGTTCTGTGGAATCGGAATGAAAACGATCTACAGTGTTTGATAGATATTTTACAGACACTCCATCCAAGTTTAATCTTTACTTTAGAGTTGACCGATAACAATCTATCGTTTCTATATGTAATGGTTACAATTTCAAACAATAACATTGAAACATATGTATATTACAAACCAACCGATTCCAAACAATACCTCAGTTACAATTCCTGTCACCCCGTCACACTAAAAACAGTGTTCCTTACTCATTAGCACGTAGAATCTGCGCGATAGTATCTAATTCAGATCGTGCACAATATAGACTCGATGATCTGAGGGAGTCACTATTAGAAAGAAACTATCCTAGAAAAATAGTGGAAGACGCAATAAACAAGGCTAAATCACAAAACCGTTGTGATCTTTTAAAACCTAAAGATAAACCTAACGAGAGTGTTCTCCCTTTTGTTACAAGCTTTAATCCCCAAAACCCGGAAATATTTGGGAGTGTTCGGGAAACACTGTATCCCTTAAATAAGTCTTAAGAACTAAAACAAAAAATATCTCAAAATAAACTTATTAAAAGTAAAAGACAGAGCCAAAATCTGAACCAGATTCTTACTGGGGCTTCTTTCTCAAATGGAAAACAAGAATGTAAAACAGTACAAAAGTGAAACAGACCAAATTGTGGTACTTGCCCTCATGTTTTACAATGTTGTTTTTTTACATTCAAAGACGGAAAAACTTTCTATGTCCGTGAAAATATGAATTGTGCTTCAAAAAACTTGATTTATGTCATACAATGTGATGGATGCAAGGCCGAATACATTGGACAGACAGGGGACACCCTAAGAGCGAGAGTGAGGGTCCATCGACAACAAATAAGGGACCCCTCTTGCCGGTGTATCCCACTCAGTCAACACATTCATCAGTGTGCCGGGAATAAAACACCAAATTTTGTGATATTCCCCTTTTACAAATGTGACAATGATGCACTGAGAAAGATAAAATAAAGCTATTTTATTAATACTTTCAAACCAAAATTAAATGGCCTGAAATAATTGAATTAGTTTATACAATTACAATGTATTGTACATTTTACTGCCACTACAATACTTATTTCTGTATGTGTCGTACGCCTGCCCTAACGTCTTACGCCTGTCTTATTGTGACGTCACAAAGTTAGATTGTTCTATGTTAGAGTGCACTGTGACGTCAAAACAGCGTAACGGTATAACTGTACTTTTGAAAATCACATGCGTGAAACCGGTTAATTAAATTATACAGCTCATCTTTGGACTTTTGTATTTTATCTATCTATCTATCTATCTATCTATCTATCTATCTATCTATCTATCTATCTATCTATCTATATATATATATATTGAGACAAATCAAGAGAATCTTTAACTGTAAAGGACAGAAAGATTGGGAAATGGCTGCAAAAGCCGACGGAAATAGAACATGAAGTGGTTCCATCTCTGAACCATCAATGTTGCAAGTTTCATGATTCTATGACACAAGTCACAATTTCAGTTATGTTTCACAGATCTACTGCCCACATATATATTTGGGGCGCACTTGTTAGCGTTCGGGGAGCATAACGGATAGGTCAATGTTTGGCGTGCATACAATATATTTGAAGGACTCACTAGGAAGAGCAGTACACGGTATCGAGATAATGAAAAAGTCCTATACTTGATACCGTTTGACCGCCAAAATAGTGGGAAAAAACTTCACAGGGAACTGTCGGCAAACTGGATTAACAACCTAATTTCCAGTTCATATCCTGTTGAATAATCTAGGGACAATCTACGCATCTTATTTTTGACACTGTAACGGAGAAAATGTATGTTTCAAAACATGAAAACGTCGATCTATGTTGCACCCACCCAAAATATCACCTGAACTACTAAGCCGTTACTACAAACAACTTAAACGATATTTGTGAGATATACTGCGAGCCTCAACATATGTGTGTATTATGCATACAGAGAACCTTCAACGTGATGGTGGTCCGTCTTGATGGCCCCGCTCAGCCATGGTTCAAACGACTGGATTAACGTCATCCTTAATATATCTGTATGTGTCCATTCTAGAATTTACTTTCTTTCTCATGGACAGGATTGATAGATACGTTTTAATGGCGCCTTTACGACGGCTGACATTCCCGAGAATCGAGAAATGACTTTCAAGATACTAGCATTTTACAAAGCCAGTCAGCTATGACCTTATTGAAATTATTGTGGGTCATAAAATTGACAAAGCGACAAAGATTGACGTCGTATAAAACAAAGTGGGAGCTGGCTAGCCCTTTCATGTAGTTCGTGTGTGAGCTTGTTTTCTATCAACTCACTTACCCCCGTGGACACCGAAATCTACATTAAAACGCCCCATAGTCACATACTTTCAAACGACTTTATAGCTAACCCTTTTTGGAAAACTTCATATTGAATCTGTCCTGCTAGGTGATGCATACATAAAATTCCTCTATTGACTGTATTGTGTGATTTCAGGTTGCATTCTCTTTTAGTCTTGAAATTCCGCTTTTACCTCAGTGGCATTTTGATTATCATTATCACTATTATTAATGTTGTTGTCATCAGCATTTTTTAACATATATAATCATATTTGTATTGTTTAACGAAATGACACATACTTGATAAGATTACATGTATTGAAAGTCTGCACATGAAACACGCCAGACTAACTGTAAAAAGATATTAATTTATAATTATTAAAGATGATGTGTTTGTCCGTGTCATTAGTTTTAAGAAATGATATGTGTAAAGAGTACTCCCAAATTTAGCGGTTCGTCAAGCAAGATTAACTACGCTCTTGGAAAATCGTTACCTGTTTACATGTATTGGTATTATATTATACTTACTGTTTCAGATACGAGGGAAGCTGCATTTGTCTACGCAATTACCGCTGCCGGCGTGGTGTTTGCCGTGACGGAGGCATGCAGCACTGGGCGCTTACTCCAGTGTACCTGTGATAACAACATACGGGATGTTGCTACTGATGGCGAGTGGGAATGGGGCGGATGTGGAGACAATGTGGAGTTCGGTTACCAGAAGTCAAGAGAATTCATGGATGCTAGACGTCGCAAGAAGCGACGGGGTGACGTCACAACGCTGATACAACTGCATAATAACGAAGCTGGAAGACAGGTATACAAACAATTTATATTTTTAACTAGACGAGGTAGGATAACGGCCCTTTTTGCGCTCTGGAAATGTGTAATTATAGTTTGAAACTCACCATGGTTGAAAACTAGTCGTTTTGTCTTACTCTTGCACGTTTTCTACTTCTGGCATGTTCAAGTACACAAGAGTGGTGAAAATATTCGAGAAAATCTAACCACGAGAAAGGCCGTCGCTCAAAATTACTATTTCACCATATGTTTGATATGTCTACTTCATAACCTCTAAAGTCGGCTTTTTCGATTTATTTTAGCATAACCTATATATTATTCTTAGGCCAATACTAGCATGTGTTAAGAGGAACAAGGCCTTGTTCTCAATCATACGTCTGTTAACTTTCATAACAATTTCTAAAAGATTTGCTAATTTCTTTAATTGTTTAGGTCCCGTGAGCCAAAATTGGCCGTATGATATCTTGTCACTTAGTTGGGTATTTTTGTCTCTTAATATGAAACATCCATAACAACCTGGTCACAGCGATTGGTTATAGCGAGTGAGTGTATACTATCATCGTATCATACTATCTACATCTAGATCCTATCTTGGGTTTTTTCTAATTTTTCATAGTATAATAATTAAACATACAAGGAAGCATAGAATTCCTTTTACACAGCTTTACTTAAATTTGGTATCAAACAAGTCGTTAGGACACATTTGTTCAGGTCGTAAATACAGTGGCACATACTCATATTGGATTGATTAGTGAAATATGAAATGAAAGTGTAATGCGACCTGGCATGCGAGGTGCGCCATTCATCGACTGGCTGGAGTGACATTTGTGCTTTCGAAGTATTTGTTCCAAAAAACTCCGATATCTACGTCAGACACGTTGATTGTTTGCAAAAATCTTTAACGTAACCTTTGACGGGTTTTTTTTCAGGCCGTTACCCGCCATATGAGAAAGGAATGCAAATGTCATGGCTTGTCCGGTTCGTGCACGCTCAAAACATGCTGGCGAAAGATGCCTGTGTTCAAAACAGCCGGAGATGTTCTTAAAAAGAAATTCGATGGTGGAGCTAAGGTTATAATTACAAATGACGGTAAAGGACTAATACCCGAGGGGGACACAATAAAACCTCCAGCCAAAGACGACTTGGTCTATTCAGAAGAGTCGCCCAATTTTTGCAAAAGGAGCAAAAGATTGGGATCGTTAGGGACAAAGCATCGCGAATGTAACCCCGACTCCCAGGATGTAAGTGGATGTGACCTGTTGTGTTGTGGTCGCGGATATACCAAAACGGAAGTGACCGTAAAGAAGAACTGCAAATGTCAGTTTATTTGGTGTTGTGAGGTTGAGTGTGAAACATGTGTGTCGGTGGAGACGGTTCATCGCTGCTCCTGACACCCGCAGCACCAAACCGCAGGTAAACTCTGTGCTATGACCAGCAGTTGCGGCATTTGTAGAATATTGTCAAGTATCTACCACCAGTGCCTTTATAACAGTAGGACCAGCATGAAGCAGAGATGGACATGATACTGTGAGGACGGCACTGAGACACATGCCATATGTTGTCATGCCATGAAGACGTGCACTGTAGGCACCACTGACAACCCGTTCCTTCCACTGTGGACATGGGACGACAATAGTTACGATATTGTGTCTGCTGTAGTGTTGTACATAGGCTGCATCTTGTAAAACATGCTTTCATCAAGCTATATAGTACGTGACTGAGAGTCAAGTGGGAATAGTGCCATTGGGAAATGATATGTGGTTTGTTAAGATTTGCATCCAGTTTGCGCTTTGCTTTCTGCTAATCGTGATGTCAATACTACTGCGAGTTTTAATGGTTTTTTTGAGATTTGCGGTAAAGGGCTGTGAGTGTAGAAAATGTAGATGTGATATCTATAAGCATATCAGATACATGTAATTATATTTAATTGTAGAGTATAAAATTCATGGCATTTCTGCCTCATTTTATTTCCTTTTAGTAATTTCTCTTGTTTTAGTTCTTGCCAAGTGCAGTTCTGAGTCAACGTTGCTAATTTACGCTTTTGTCAATCCGTATTGTGATCTGGAGCTTTCAACAACGCCACTAATGTTGGTGTGTTCTAATGCTTTATTGTACATATTGATTTATTACATCGATGTTAAGCTGTTAATTGATGTTCTACAGGAATCTCATTGCACAATAAAATAAATCAAATGACACATGAAAGCCAATATTTGTTCCTTTTAATTGTAGGTTCCACTCACAACAAATAGTTTCCGTTTGATTCTCTTGTCTTTGAGATACACATGAAACAATCACCAGCATGCTATGGAAATAAAACCCCTCAGGTCAACACATGACGACATATCCGCCGAGACAATAGTTCAGTTGTGATTACCATGGCAAGTTTAAAGAAGCGCTTGAGGGTGTTTGTACTGCGTACCTGCTGTTTGCAAAGACATGCCACCCACCCAAAATACAATATGATTATTATCACAAACATTTTTTCTACATATCGTGGGCCCATAAAAATAAATGAAATATATGCAATGCTGAAATATAGAAATCCTCACTGAAAATTACTGGGTTCTTTTTTAAACCTTTTGCTATCGTTTGCTGTCCCAGTCCCACCAATACTGACATTGACATAAGCATACCTTTACATAGTCTTTAAACGTTGGCTGTTGAACGGGTACGCTTTATTATTTAAAATTTATATCTGCTCAAAAAGGTGCTTTACTGTAATATTTCTTTACAGTTCGTGAATGTTTTTTTTGTCATTTGATTATATGTCTATAAGGAATATCATACACACTTTTTTGTTCAGCTTCAGAAAGAAAAGGTAGACGCATATATCTTAATGTCATCCGTTTAGTAATGAGAACTCACAACTGAACTCTTCTTTCTCTGATGTCACAAAGTATCATATATCCTGGTCGTTTTACTCATTTTCATCATGGAATATTTAACTGGGTACCGTTGGCCAGAACAAAATAGGTATTACAAGACGAGAACACAGTTAAACGTGTATGTGTGCTTTGTTGTCACTAGAACTGAGACCAATCGCCAGCGTATAAGTTCATGTATACATTTAAACTCCAGGTAAACTATACATAGTGTATGTGTCCTCAGATGTTGGGCAGTTTTGAGATTATCTATGAACTAAACGGGGGGAAAATGACATCGCATTGTACATGCCGTATAAACATTGGCCGCGCAAAAACGTTCTGTGGCTACACAATCAAGAGATACAAAATACAAAACTCTATTCTTTAAATAAAGTCGAAAAGGCCGAGGAGACGTGTTTTGTAGAAAGTAACAAGTATTATATGTCTGAACTCATGAGTGTGCTCCGGCGAGGTTCAGCATTATTTTATCTTATTCTGACCATTATCTTATTCCGGGACAAGCCGAATAGCGACTTGTGCTTCTCTCGCTGCCAGTGTTACGACTGGGCTCCGTCTATACGCAAACAGGCATAGCTAAAAGATTTTTCAACTCACGTAATGATTCACGTAGATTTCCCCTATGTAGCATATATATTGCAGATGCTATTTAAAACACTTCGGGGCTTACGTATTATACAGTCTGACTGAACACAGTTAAATGTATCTTGAGTATTCTTTCGATGCATGACCTATCTAAAATCAAATATAATTCCTGAGGGATTCTTTGACCGAAGTACTTGAAGTCATACGTGCATTCTGATTGCTGAGTCGTATTTTGGCACATGACATTCATCGATAGGAGAGCAAGTCTTCTTGCAGCTTACGGTAAGGGGCGAGTGGTGACGAATGTATTTAATCTCTGATTCACCATGTACACCTTTCACACATTTTTAACAGCTTACGTCAATACATGTATAGATGAAATGTGGAATGTTTTCGTCCGTAATGTTCGCACGTGTTCGTGTATCTCCGATATTCTTGGAACACAATGTCAAGGACTGCAATGAAACAACAGTGGGATATGGTTGTATGAGTCATTCATCAGTCGTGGTACGGTGCAAGCCGGAACAAAATTAAAGAGATCTGTACTTTTTCACCGAGACTTCAATGCAGAGATATATTTCTTAAAGAACATTCGATATCATTAGATGTTATACCAGAGATAAAGAGACTTGGGGCAATTACACTACACGCTGCTGACGAAAACAATGCCTGTGGTCTCTTCCCATGCATCGAGAAGGGGAACCGTTATGAGATGGATCAGATGAGACAAATGGCAACGAATAATACTTTAACGCGATTGAGAATACGTGATTGTTAGTAATGAGAAAGTAAAGATCAGTTGACAGTTGAGGCATATTCGAACCTGGTTGTCAGCTACCCCCCTCGGACATATGATTACGACGTATACCAGGTATGTTATTGTGACTTGATTGACTATTTGTCAAAGATTGATTTCTTCTGACTAATATACACACTCTTAATACAACTTGAAATCCTGAGGATGTGTGGATGCTGCTGACACACGCTCCATGAACACCGTACCTGGGTATTGTTTCCAACCGCACACGAACAATGAATTATGGTGTCTGTTCAGCGTTACCGTTGTTTTCATACACACAACTGAATTTCAACTCAAACTAGGACTTATTCAAACATAATTTATTCTTTTGAGTCAATATAATTTACATCTAACTCAAACGTTTGTACATTTGTTTGAATAATATGAAGGATCATGTAACTAAAACATACCATGGACACATGAATTCTTTGTCATGTAGCTTCCTCAAAGTACTACTGAACAACACAAGCACATGTTGCATCAGGATATGAGGGGTGTAATTTACTCAGTTGAACCACTTGCATAGTAATACATGTATTTAAGGCAATGCAACACAGTGCCACAGTGTCCAGACTGCTGCATTACAAGTTGTTGAAAAATTGCTATCAGTGATTATATTGCTGTTTACAAAAACTTTGATAGTTAATTATTCCATACATTTGACATGGCAGTAACGTTGTGCGTAGGTTGTATAGTTCTGGATACATGTAAACTCATGTATAAATCATGTATCCACTCAACACTAAAACTAGGATAATATTCAGACACACAATGCACGGAACAACCCCTAGTAAACACACATTTGTATGATGACATGGTAGCTCGCCCATGACATACACGTCCATGACCTGGAACATGCAGCAGAGAGTTCAATCCAGGGAACACATCAGATGGAAATCCACATGGAAGTTAATATTATGTACAAAAGATACTGACGGCATGGCACTTCAAACTTAGTGTGAAAACACAAATGTGATGTCATGAAATGTTGCTTGAACATATTGTCAATTATCTTGGCATGGCGAACCGTTGTTGTAACTTGTTCACCGACAGCACGTTATGGAAAACAGTGACACTAGAGACAACTGTGTTTGACCTTTGTGCGTGTACAAGTCTTGCACTTCACATGACAACACCAGTGAAAAGTACAGCTACAGCGTTCTGTAACTATGTACTTTTCTGTTGTATGACCACGCCCACAACACATCAGATCACAACCGTCAACTCCGATAGAAGTGGCATTGCACTCACGTCCAAGCGTGCCCTGAAATCCAATACCATTATCCTTTTCGCAAAACGATGGTGAATTCTCAAAGTAGACAAGATCGCGTCGACCTGGTTTCTTATGGTTGACGTTTACGGGATTGAAGTTGAACCTCCTTCGCCTCCGGCCACGACCACGACCTTTGTTCCCTGTAAGTGAAAATGTCAGAATAAAACACTTTGACACATACAACTGACATGTTGTAACATATTTCATCTCCAAAGAACATATTCACACTTTGTGTTTAGATCCAACTTTTTGGCCTCAGACCAGTAATAGGAGCCCAGTGTTGTACGTCAAATAACACGAAGTAGTTGACAAATAATAGAAGCTCGCAGCATAATAATTCATGGATAAGCGCGTGTGAGGAAGGTGCTGCTGCGTCTGCGCAGGGACTCGGGAATGATTGAGGTAATTCTCTTCGATACAGAAAGGGACAACAACGGACATATGTCGTCGGTTTGTGTCTCTTCGTGCTTTCAGTTTCAGAAGCTAACACCGTCTTTTAGTGCAGTGAGTCGAGTGTGATCGCCGGGTCCTTTTAAAACATGGCTAAGCACGGAAGTAAGAGATGACGTCTGTATACTGTAGTTGTGTAACCAAATCAGTAAGTCGTCAGTGGGAACGTGGACCAAGCCCCGCGCGACAAAGCGAATGTTATGGTGAGTGAATGTTGCTCAATAAGTCAGAAACATTCAACCTGTATCATGGTCGCGTGGAAATAACTGAATGTTAACCATACCCTTGACTGAAAGCAGTAGTAGCGAGCCACGCCGAAGGAGCATGATGCCACGGTATCAGCCAAGTCACCGACCTGACAACACTATCCTCGACGAGCATGGCATACTGGGGACCTACTCTTCTCTGAACTTCACACAGGATAGATCCCCCTGTGGAACGCTACCGTGAACATAAGCAACTCGAGAACTTCGCATAATGGCTAAGACGGTTGTTAAGAGTTTAGGAAACATCCAGTTGAGAAGTATCAACTACACGATATGTTGTAGAATTGATATGCCAATTACACGTAATTTCCAGAGAAATTTAGAATATAGAACGTACTTCAGCTAAGCTAATCATGTTATTATAGAAAAGACTACAGATAACACTGTTGATCAGAAAATATCATATGGGAAGTAACACACACACAAGTCACAATACAAGTATATGGCTCTTGCCGACAATTGTAATATGTAACAATTAAGTTGTGTCACCAAGAGAGGACCCTAAACGTATACATGTAAATGCTTAGACCTGCCAGAATCCGATAAAGGTGGGTTCCAATCCCATACTGATCCTGGTTATGATCCTTGGTTTGTTAGAACCATTGCTCATGGGAAAAAACAAAGAATACAAAATGTGTTACTCTGGTATTTCCGCCCACACGCAGATGTATTGAAATACTGTTGTGCAGCACAAAACCGAAATCATTTAGTCACAACAGTAAATAAAGACGTTGTTATCAATATTTGGAAATAAAGAAGTTGTTATCCATAAATGTAAATAAAGAAGTTGTTATCTATTTCATTCCGTCAACTTCTAAGTAATGCAATGCCTATCAAACAAGTGAAAATAGTTTAATCTAATTCTCTACGATAATTTTGTCCATGCGTGAATTACTCTGCTACCACAGAGACGAGCCATAAACGGATACGTGCTTTATTCATGTATATGAAGGGATGTGTAGGAATAAAACGACTACAATTCATTTCGGAACTGCATCGTGTAATCACAAATCCCGTACGTTACAATGGAAAATAGATATATAATCCTTCCAAAATGTTAACAACATGAAAGGCTAAGCATTCGAAAATGATTGTCTATGAAATATAGGTATTTTATTTCAAATCTTAAAAATATAATTCTTCTTGCGAGAACCGATACTGATCTGTTGAAATGGAATGACTCGTTGTAGCTCTTGGAACAGATATGAGAATGTACCTATTTTTATCGCTTTGTAAATGGAAATATAGAAAAAGGTTCAAACTCTTTGCTGCTAATGACTGAAAACTGAAAAGGCAAAGACCAGAAACACTGACATCTCACCATTTCAGTCAATGCAATCGCTTAAATTGGTTGCAAGTAATCATTATAGAATCATTGTAGCATAGCAGAAGCTTCATCACAAATCTGACGGTTGATGTCATCATGGCCCAAATGCGTGGATCCGTGCTCATGATTGTCTGGTCCAGATTCGATTACTTACAGACCGCCGTCGTATAGCTGGAATATTGCTGAGTGCGGCGTTAAACGCCAACAAACAAACAAACAACAAATCTGACACCACATACTTCTCTTTGAGAAACAAGATTGTTCAACAAAGCACATAAAAATGCATAACTTTATTTTTTATGTCGAGAAAAGTTTGATAAGGATATGTATTCTCGTAGACACCCAGCAAGACCTACAAATGACATAATACCATTCTTGTCCCCAAAGAGTGCACAGTAAGACTATTGAGAAATAAGGATACTTATATCACGATTTATTTATTATAAATTAGATTGATCGGTTCAAAGCGATGGGATACGATTTCATAGCGATCAACTTAGATAATACACAGTGACATCGTGTGCCAACCTGTGCAGCAGCAAGTTGGGCAATCGACTTTGACGATTGACGATTGTTATTCCTTCAATTTCACTTTGGGAATATTATATTTCTCTAAATGGATTTGGAATCTAACTGTGCTGTTTTAAGGTTTCTTTGAGAAACAACTAGATTCGTTTAGCTTAGATTTATTTTGCATTACCTCAGATGTTGAATTCCATATAATGTGACATGGGACTTTTGTTGAAGACACAATATTATCACTACTTCAAAACATAAACCCTTTTTTTCCAAGTAGAAAGACCGTTAGTTTGACCAGAAAGATTATGATTAAACAGACTGTGTGCATCCCTATATTTCAGTATGGTTTCTTTTATGATTAACCACTATTGCGAATGCTACTTAAGGAATGTTTTGGTATGTGCTTGCCTTGCGAATATTAAGATAGTGTTACACATGAAAAATACGTGTACTTATATACTGCTTTTAATTTCCATGTGGAACACAATATGTTAACAATGATTATATTATATATTAGTAATGAATAACCTTAATGTTGAGCCACCTTGAACTTTGAATTATTGAATGTAGAAGAACAATGTGATTGCAATGTTTGACTGCAGAGAAACAGGCTCATTCATTTAGATATTTTTTTAAGACGATTTTCAACTTCATTGACGACAGACAAAACGATGGTAATCGACGTCACACAAACCTAGGACCCTCGGTGGTTAAAGGTTTCATATTTATCAAAGTATTAGTAAAATAGAACTGCAGTATTCAAGACGACTATGAAACTTCCCATATCATATTAACTGGAAACACATTGCAAAATGTGTCTGCTGGCGAGTCGCTGGTGTATTAGAAGATATGGCTCAATCAGTATTTTTTCATATGTGTTTTTTACTAAAGCCTGTCAATTTCTTGATTCTTGCAATATTCAAAAGAGTGTGGATCAGTGAGAGAATTACTACGATAAATGATGACTCACTGTCAGGGTTACGTATCTTGGCGTTCAAGAAGATCATTTGGATCAATACAATGTTTGCAATTTGTGCTTTCCTAGTCTTTCCGAGCGCAGATGAGTTGTGACAGATATATAGGATATCCCCGGACCTGCAGGCGTGACATTCGTTGAAAAATAAGTGTCTTCCCAGCAGGCACGCAACGTTGGATCAACGTTCAAAATTGGTTGCGTTTACGTTGTGACCAAAATGCAACGTTGTTTCAACGTTGTAATGCCTGCTGGGTTGTCCTTATTGAGAAAATAAATTATGTTCCAGGGAACTAAAGACGCAAAATGTGTGCACAATTGCAGGAACGTGTGTCGGAGCATTGTCAAATTGTTGAATCAAAAGGAATGTTATTGACCGTTGAGCTTATATCGGTTGACTAGAATATGGTTCCATTTATGTATCCATAGACGATGACAAAATGTATGGGCGCACACATTGCTGTCACAAGTTTTGCTATGAGGCAGAAACAGCTGAATAAATGTAGCAAGTGCACTGCAAGAGGAAACTGTAGACATCTGTTCAGATATCAGAATCGAATACTTTACTCGTACGGAATGATCTGCTGGACTGCTGGACAGTGACGCTCAGGGTCCAGCCTGCCGAAGTACCCTGACTACAGGGTGCAGGGGTATGTCACGTCACAGAACACAGGGACAACTGGCGCTACGCTATCGGTCACAACACAGAGTTGCGCTTGGCCAAATAACGTGAGCTGATAATTGTACAGTACCAAAAGTGCAAGATACATTATCAATAGAAAATTGTTTTCGCAAAGACCATTATAAATACTCGAAGGTATTTAATAGTTATATGATAAAAAAGTAATTGAGGACTGTAGGGATATATGATACATCATGGATGATAATGTATCGTTTAACGCATGGTTAGACTACCCAGTAAGTGTTTGATCACATTTAACTTGTTTAAAGTTTCTGTCAACAAAATTGGTCCATTTTGATTGGTTTAGTAATACACATGCTTTTCAATCTGAGAAGATGTCGCATGCCTGATCACTTGGCTGTGGACATCAAGAGAGGGAACTTTGGAAATGTGGAAACAATGGTTCAGGTTAGTTTAATTTGTCTCAGAAACGCTGTTTCATAAAGAAAGCATAAAATATGAATGTTTATGTTTGTATTGTTTTACACTTTGTAATAGTAATTTCATTAATAATTAATTAATCAATAAGTGTTCTATACAGAAAAACTGTTAATAGTAAATAATGTGTAGCAGTTCTGTATGTGCAGTAATTTATTGTATTAATTGGTATATTTAATATGCTATAGGTTTCATGTACTAGCAGTTGGTGATATTATTATGATTATGAGTGATGTTGAATGTCCTATGCCAGTGTAAGCAATAGGACCAACATTAATGATTTGGGGACAACTACATGGTGGTAGGTGTAACTGGCTATGTTTACTGACTGTTATATTGGATGTAATAACATTCGAATCTATATGTATTTTTTTGCGGTAAAGTTTACAGGACCACTGTATTAACGAGGTCGTGACTGGTGATTAACGAACTCAAAAACACCGGATCATGTATTTTATGGATTGATTCGTCTGTTACATACAGGCGTATCACTATATAACGGTACGTTTCTAAAGTTCGTTGTCCATGACAAACATGTTTTTCTCAATCAACTCTAGATAATGCGCCAGTTAGTGCAAATCAGTTTGTTAAAATAGACAAGTTAGTATTCTACATGATACTATATGGCAACGTGTTCTTTCAACATTGCAATCTACGGAATGCTATGGATGAGGAACTGTAGTTGAAATTAGAAGAGAGTGCACATCTGTACCATGGTGACCCAGATGTAACTACAATGTAACTAATATGGTAGCAGGCACAAGCACAGGCACACACACACAACCACATGTTAGCACCTGGAAAGTGGGTTTTATCAGTATAAAACGATGATCGTTTAAACTCAGTACAGATTTGTAAGAAACATGCAGATTGAGAGAGTTTAGCGTCAAGCGTGCTTACTCTAACTATATATGTAGCTAGCCACAAGAACTGATAAAGCCAGGAAGATTCAATTTCATCGTAGTAACAGGTCGAAGATATAAAGTTGGTAAGATAGACACATTATTGTTCCTGAAACAATGCCGTTTAAAGGTTATTTCAATGAAAACCATCCCGGCTTTATCAGAGTGTCAAACCATACATCGCCTATATACTGACCTTTCACCTGGGCCTTTCCTTCGTTATCTAGCAGAAACAAGCACCCATGAAACATGAAAAACTTCGTGTATGTTACAAGGATCAAACTGGCATTATATATTCTCATTATTCTCATACTAGTGCAGTGGAGATGTCAACCAAAACATGCACACATCAGCTCATTTTCTACAACGATGTACATCGAAGGTATGGATAGCCTACATGTACGAAGAAGCACTATGTATGTATGTATGTATGTATGTATGTATGTATGTATGTATGTATGTATGTATGTATGTATGTATGTATGTATGTATGTATGTATGTATTTATGTATGTATGTATGTATGTATGTATGTATGTATGTATGTATACGCCCTATCTTAACCCGACCTGTGGACCTTCATTTCATGGAGGTTTAGACCGACAAATAGGCAAATTAGGTACATTTATATATATTCAACTACGACACGCACCATACCCCACCCGCAAACACCAATCCGTGCTAAATATAACAATTCAAACGAAATAGTAACATCGTGGACTAAACAGAGTTATTTGAATAATTTTATATTCCGGTCTGTGACTAAAAATACAGTTACTGACGTTTGTCCATATGTGGAAGCGTGAGCTAAAGTGGCTTCATGGATGTGTGCGGTGATAGACCCAAGAAACAATAGCATTTCATAACACATGTGTACACTTCCCTTGTAATCACTTCACAAAAAATGTATTTCCTTTCCTTATCGAGAAACTGGAAAGTGAATAAGTGAGTTGTGTTTAATGCCGCTTTTAACAGTATTCCAGTTATATCACGGCGTGTCAGCTTAATGTGGGAGGAAAGCCCGAAGTGATGCAGGTCTCAGACGTTTACCACTTCGGTGAAACCCACTGTCACTGGTATGGTGCTGACAAACCTAGAAACATAATCGGGGCGAACCGGGATTCGAACCCACAATCATAGGTTTCTGGCGTGCCCAAGGGACGCAACTCTGTACAGCCAATTGCGGCGCCTTAGACGACTGGGCCACATGTGTCCCCGAGAAATTGGAAGGAGGCTATTTAGCATTATCAGTTATAACTACATCTTCTCCCTCGTTTATCGTTCCACACCAGTTAACACAGGGCCTGCGTCCCCAAGTTTAGAGGAAATGTACGTTGTTAATGTACGCGAGATCTGTGACAGGCTCATCAGGGATGTTTGACAGACATCTCATTTGACACTTTTCAGGTAGAAGGTTTATAATTATGACAACATAAACCTCTCGATTTGTTCTGTTAGTGCACATCAGATCATTACTCAACTGTGTGCATTATATATAGAGGCCATCACGCGGGTTTGTATTATGATGGTAAATCTCCAAAACAAACAAGCGTGGTAATATCTTTATCATATAATGTCGTTCTTCAATTTTATCATCAAAATAAGCATTTTCATCTCTCACAAACGGTATCTAAACATTGCAAATTTCCCTGGAATGTGCGCATTAATACATATTATCTCACAATGTCAATGATTAGTCAGACGGAAAGTGACACCTGGTCAATATAGTTCCGACTGAAACACTGTTTTCTAGACAGTGACTTAACTACCATATAGGTGAAAAAAACAACTGCTCATTGAGTTTGTCATAGATCGCCTTTAGCGGCAATCCATCAGTCCGTCCGCTGGAGGGCTGGAGTCTGCCCTCTATCAACGTGAAAGTAACTCTCTTGTCTGTGAGACGGCATGTTTGTTTAGAATCTGGCTGACTTGTCGAAGAGAAACGTTACGAAATGCAGTCGGTTATCCTACACAGTCACAAAATGAAACAAAGTAAGATTACATTTCGGCGAAATCCAACTGTTTTTAATTCGAGAAAAGACCCCAAGCCGCAGAGGTCTTTAAGCACAGGTATGCGAACAGATATCCCGACAGTCTTCGCAGTTCTTTTTCTCCAAAGTAGCCTACACTTGTGAAAGGCCTCAGCTACGTCCATTACACCGATGTTCGGTATCTTATGACTATTATTTGGATAATGATAACAACTATCCCAGTAATTTGTCCAGGTCCTCAATCATCAATGTTGACTTGAGGCAATGCATGAGTAAAAGGTTGTAGCCCAATCATATGTGTATAGGACTTTAAAAAAGCAACCAACCAACCAATCATATGCCGCATTGACAAAAGTGTACACAAAGCTACCCATTAGTGTCTCTGCCTTCAACTTGGAGATCCTTGTGGTTTAAAATACATTACATTTACCTTGTGAACGTACATGTATACTGTTGTTGAACAAAAACCCTTTATCTTTTGGCAACGGTTCAATTCCGACGATTGTATTGATTTGAATATTTCCATACCTCCCCTGTAGCGAACTTAAAACGTTGTGTACCCCAAAACCGATGCCGCGCAGAGCTGAGATGTAGTATACATATCACTCTGCAGATTTCCGAAGCACTAGACATATCATACATGTGTGTGCAGATTTCCGAAGCACAAGAAATATTCCTGCAAATTTAAGGAGCACTGGAAATATCATCCCTTCAGCAGCCCGAGGCATTAGACATATGACATTACCCTGCATCGCGCCATAGCTGCATTGTAACATATCTACAGACATATCTAAGATCATTGCAAACGTACAATAACACGAAAAAAGGCATGAAAAAAGTTGAATTATCTTTTTGCTGAAAATATCGTATCTTCAGAACACGAACACATGGACTGACATAAAGAGTTATTTTCATTTGAAGTAAAATAAAGCCTAACATCACATCACACCATAAGGTAGGTTATATGTAGGTATATATGCACTAGAAATTCCAAACAAACAAGACTGCATAGATGGACCGTGGTTAGGTGACTGTCAACATGGTATCGAGGCGTCTGAGGTTTGTTGGTCTATTTTGCTGTTAGCAATGAAGCGTTTACATAATGTCATTTTGTGTTGAATATAATCTGGCCAAATATACGTGTCAGAATGGTTTTAAGGACTGTATGTGTCTATCTTTTTTATACATTGGTTTAATTTCTCTGTATCAGTTACGCCTGAAGTACAATTATAATACTGATTATAGTGCGCCAGGCTCCTTTCTTGAGCGTATAAAAGTCATACAATCACAAGGCAGGTGTCTCAGTTAAATACGAATCACAAATTACAGCACAAAGAATAGATCGCGACATGTAGTCCTTCTTAAAAATTATTGCCTTCCAGTCAATGCATTAACAATATTATCTAAACATCACAATGGAAATGACAAAACATTCATCGAAATTATATCCCGCCATGCTTGTGGTGGTTGAAAAGGAGGAATAGTGACACACGTTTGTTATTTTCACTACCACAAAGGAAATAATAATAATGATAATAATAGTAATACGTCTTGCCTAATATTTACATAGATGGATTGTTCATGTGCCGCTTATCATATTAAATATTATTTAAATATTCATTAATGCAACTGCATGTTCACTACGAATATGCATCTGAAGGGCTGTACACTCGACATCATGTGCGCCACCTCAGCCATTGCCTTTTCTCAGCAGACGTCCTAACGTGTCTTGTTTTGTTTTCAACATGTGACATGTTTAAACATGTTTAATAAAGAACAGTAATTCCATTGTCAATTTCAAAGTCATGTGTCAAAATAATACCGAACCAACAACGACTAGAATACCTGGGCTTTTAGTTGTCGATTAATGCATTAAAAAGGTCGACATGTACACACTGGTATAAAAGTGATTTTGAATATGAACTCGCATAGGTTAAGCTGTCCTGAACTCATTTTGAATTATACCTTTATTATATAAAGTTGTTCACCATTTAGTAACGATGCTCCTATCATGTTATATAATGTTACAATATATGATTTACAATTAAGAGAAACAAAATAAGTAGTCAAATGACATGAAACCTTCTCATTAGTGAGACATTGAGACCTTTAATGTACTTAATGAAATATATAAATAGGATGAGTGTGTCGTAAAATTTAAACTTTAAATCATATGACAGAAGCTTTTAAAGTACACTGAAAGTAGTGCATGAGGTACGACAAAATCCTTTATACTTTTGATAGAGATAGTAACACATTTATTTTTATTATGTCAATGAAAATGCATTACCAACGTTAGGATGTCTGGCGCACCAGGAATAATGGTAGTGTTTTTTAAGATCTGAATTACTTGATAAGTGAAGCCTGTCGTGGCAGAATGGGCTGTGCACTGTGTGAAGTTATGATCGCTTGGTACCAGTGTTCGTTTGATATGGCTTGAAGTTTCCCCCCTGAATCACTACGTGCTGCTGTGACATAAATGAAATGCGTTTGAAAGATACGGTCTCGTGCTCCCTTGAAATAAATGGACTCTTTATATATATATATATATGTTCGTTAATGTTCCATGATCCGTAATTATCACTTAAAACTTGGATTAAAAATATTTGCTTTATGAGGAGGAAGAATCCTGCCCACTGCATTATGATACATTATGTGTTTAAAAAGAAAGACTGGATGATGGATACATTTCATCCAAATTTCTTGTTTGCTACATATTAGAATGTTAGTTAGGTACTTTGAACCAGAACGTCCTGTATCCGTCGTTAGTGATACAGCATGGCGTTATCTACACATCAGCGTACATCGGGAACAGGTACATTGAGGTAGGGTACATCTTGCCGGCTGAATAAATGTATATTTTACTACGCGACTTTCTTCAGTATAAGATCGGCGGCGACCAAAATCGTTAATTTTGCAATAAAAGACGTGTTTAAGTGACGGTACCTTGCACTAGAGAAGCTATATACATGCACAACATAGAATGTGATGAATTCAATGATAGTAACAAACCTCGATCGTCAAAGGAAACAGTAAGTAACTGCGTGTGGAATGCAAAGAGTGATAACTCCGCAATTGCATAACGTGTAGGCCACGAGAACCTTAACAGCTGCGACGGTCACCTTAACAGCTTACCCTTGACTCATATCGAAAACGACGTCGTCTTGCAACAGTTTCAAGCCATTGCAACACGACGACGTACTGGAATCGTATTTAACCTTTTCATCACTCCTGATAAAGTATAACATGAAAGCACATGATTTGTTTAAAAAACTGAACACACCAATCTGCTAACATAACATTTTATCGAAATAGTGCAGGTCACGGCGACCAGAATTATTATCCTCTACAGGTGAACCGATGCAGTTGTTAAGACACATCAAATTGACACACATCCATGGCATCTCGATCGTCAGCATTTTCCCACCTGATAAGAATACAAACGGAGCTAACCTGGAAGTACTCTCGTTGCTCCATCAAACCTGTCTTTGAGGATGTCCCCAACATTCCTGAAAGCAGGGAGTCTCATCCAGCACGTCTTGATGGTGCAGCTTCCCGACATGCCGTGACATTTACATTCCTGCTTCAGTCCCGAGGTGACGTGCTAGAACATAATGGATCAACATGATCTGCTGTGTGATGTATGTTACAGGTGAACGTATAATGAATACAGTGTATCCTTCACTTTCATACCACATATTTTAGTATCATGAATATTGCTCCCGCCCCGGGATCCGCCAAACCCCTCTCTGCTCTCCACCGGTCTCTCCTTATCTCCACGCCTCACCCAGAATGTCCTCCCTCTCTTTTCACTCTCGTTCTCCGTCCTTTAAGCCCCCCTCTCCCAACCTCTACTGATATGTGGATTTAATATAGGAACTCAATGTATCAAATCAAAGTAGGAAACAATATGAGTATTCATGTTGGGAAAGCAATATGGGAAACAATTACAGAAAAAAACAATATAGGAAGTCAATATAGAAAAGCATTGCGATCAAACCAATCCAGCAGTTAATCGAACTAAATAGCACGGTTTCCATCATTTAGCATTAGCTCAGTAATTGTTGATATGAATGTACAAGTGCTGTTTTGCATAAACGGGCACGATATTCAACTGTGCAGGTAAATCGCTTTGTTAATCCATCCGGTTAAAGATGATGATTTTATGCGCTCTACAACTAGAATAAAACACTGCATAACATCGTAGTTTAATTCTTAATTACAATTATTAACGACGACTAAGAGTCGTTTATTTCTTGTATGAGATGTCAACATTATTTACAACCTCAAAATGACAAAATTTATTGGCTTTAAACATCTTTACCGGTATTGAATTAATGAGAACTCCCTGAATACAATCGGATCTTGGTAATGTCGAACAAATTCATTATATGAACATTGGGTTATGGTATTTCCTGAATATTCTCACATTCTCACTACCTTTTAAAAAATAACGTCCTCCAATTTTACGACATCATCAAGTTGCGAGCGTGTGTTCGAATCTCCAGAAATGGCGTTATGATAGAATAATGTTTTATCTTAAAAGATATAACACTTCGTTCTTTGTTGTTGTTCTTCTTTGCAATTTATCGCGAAGCTATCAAATATACATAAATAATGGTAGGAGAAATATTGAGGGACGTCACAATAGCAACGACGTCGTTTAACCTATTATATTTTCGACTGGAAATGTCCATGTTGAAGACGCCATTTCTTCATTTGTAAGTGTGGTATTAAAGATGGCGTTACAATCGTGTGTATCCAGCTAATTTGACGAATTTACATTGTTAGCTTTTGCTCGGGAAATTTGAAATGTCTTGAAATTTTGTAAGCTGTGCTAGTTCTAGGTATGTGTATCTCCTTGGGACACATTCTCACGTAAGAATCTCAAGACAGTTCCCAAACTATGTATAGTGCGTGATTGTAGGATACGAAATAGGCTTCAAGTTGCATGATACTTTGGCAACAAGAGGGAAATATGTTACAATATAACAATAGAAGGCATGTCAGTTGAGGGAAGGGGGTGTGAATGTAAGTATAAGTGAAGGCAGGTCAGTTGAGGGAAGGGGAGTGTGGATGTTGGTATAAGAGAAGGCAGGTTAGTTGAGGGAAGGGGAATGTGGATGTTGGTATAAGTGAAGGCAGGTCAGTTGAGGGAAGGGGAGGGTGAATGTTAGTATAAGAGAAGGCTGGTCAGCTGAGGGAAGGGGAGTGTGAATGTGAGTATAAGTGAAGGCTGGTCAGTTGAGGGAAGGGGAGTATGAATGTGAGTATAAGAGAAGGAAGGTCAGTTGAGGGAAGGGGAGTATGAATGTGAGTATAAGAGAAGGCTGGTCAGTTGAGGGAAGGGGAGTGTGAATGTTAGTATAAGAGAATGCTGGTCAGCTGAGGGAAGGGGAGTGTGAATGTGAGTATAAGAGAAGGCTGGTCAGTTGAGGGAAGGGGAGTATGAATGTGAGTATAAGAGAAGGAAGGTCAGTTGAGGGAAGGGGAGTATGAATGTTAGTATAAGAGAAGGAAGGTCAGTTGAGGGAAGGGGAGTGTGAATGTAAGTATAAGTGAAGGCAGGTCAGTTGATGGAATGGGAGTGTGAATGTTAGTATGAGTGAAGGCTGGTCAGTTGAGGGAAGGGGAGTGTGGATGTTGGTATAAGAGAAGGCAGGTCAGTTGAGGGAACGGGAGTATGAATGTTAGTATAAGAGAAGGCTGGTCAACTGAGGGAAGGGGAGTGTGAATGTAGGTATAAGAGAAGGCAGGTCAGTTGGGGGAAGGGGAATGTGGATGTTGGTATAAGTGAAGGCAGGTCAGTTGAGGGAAGGGGAGTGTGAATGTTAGTATAAGAGAAGGAAGGTCAGTTGAGGGAAGGGGAGAGTGAATGTTGGTATAAGTGAAGACAGGTCAGTTAAGGGAAGGGGAGAGTGAATGTTAGTATAAGAGTAGGCTGGTCAGTTGAGGGAAGGGGGGTGTGAATGTAAGTAAAAGTGAAGGCAGGTCATCGAGGGAAGGGGAGTGTTAATGTTGGTATAAGAGAAGGCAGGTCAGTTGAGGGAAGGGGAGTGTGGATGTTGGTATAAGAGAAGGCAGGTCAGTTGAGTGAAGGGGAGTGTGAATGTTAGTATAAGAGAAGGCAGGTCAGTGGAGGGAAGGGGAATGTGGATGTTGGTATAAGTGAAGGCAGGTCAGCTGAGGGAAGGGGAGTGTGAATGTTAGTATAAGAGAAGGCGGGTCAGTTGAGGGAAGGGGAATGTGGATGTTGGTAATAGTGAAGGCAGGTCAGTTGAGGGAAGGGGAGAGTGAATGTAAGTATACGTGAAGGCAGGTCAATTGAGGGAAGGGGAGTGTGAATGCTGGTATAAGAGAAGGCAGGTCAGTTGAGGGAAGGGGAGTGTGAATGTAAGTATAAGTGAAGGCAGGTCAATTGAGGGAAAGTGAGTGTGAATGTTAGTATGAGTGAAGGCAGGTCAGTTGAGGGAAGGGGAGTGTGGATGTTGGTATAAGAGAAGGCAGGTCAGTTGAGGGAAGGGGAGTATGAATGTTAGTATAAGAGAAGGAAGGTCAGTTGAGGGAAGGGGAGTGTGAATGTTAGTATAAGAGAAGGCTGGTCAGTTGAGGGAAGGGGAGAGTAAATGTTAGTATAAGTGAAGGCTGGTCAGTTGAGGGAAGGGGAGTATGAATGTTGGTATAAGTGAAGGCAGGTCAGTTGAGGGAAGGGGAGTGTGAACGTTAGTATAAGAGAAGGCAGGTCAGTTGAGGGAAGGGGAGTGTGAATGTTATTATAAGAGAAGGCAGGTCAGTTGAGGGAAGGGGAATGTGGATGTTGGTATAAGTGAAGGCAGGTCAGTTGAGGGAAGGGGAGTATGGATGTTGGTATAAGTGAAGGCAGGTCAGTTGAGTGTGGATGTTAGTTTAAGCGAAGGCAGGTCAGTTGAGGGAAAGGGAGTGTAGATGTTGGTTTAAGAGAAGGCAGGTCAGTTGAGGGAAGGGGAGTGTGAATGTTGGTATAAGAGAAGGCAGGTCAGTTGAGGGAATGGGAGTGTGAATTTTAGTATAAGTGAAGGCTTGTCAGTTAAGGGAAGGGGAGTGTGTTGGTATATGTGAAGGCTGGTCAGTTGAGGGAATGGGGGTGTGAATGTTATTATAAGAGAAGGAATGTCAGTTGTTGGAATGGGAGTGTGATTTTAAGTATAAGTGAAGGCGGGTCAGTTGAGGTAAGGGGAGTGTGGATGTTGGTATAAGTGAAGGCGGGTCAATTGAGGTAAGGGGAGTGTGGATGTTGGTATAAGTGAAGGCAGGTCAGTTGAGGGAATGGGAGTGTGAATGCTAGTATAAGAGAAGGCAGGTCAGTTGTGGGAATGGGAGTGTGATTGTAAGTATAAGTGAAGGCAGGTCAGTTGAGGGAATGGGAGTGTGGATGTTGGTATAAGTGAAGGCAGGTCAGTTGAGGGAAGGGGAGCGTGAATGTTGGTATAAGTGAAGGCAGGTCGGTCGAGGGAAGGGGAGAGTGAATGTTAGTATAAGTGAAGGCTGGTCAGTTGAGGGAAGGGGAGTGTGGATGTTGGTATAAGTGAAGGCAGGTCAGTTGAGGGAAGGGGAGTGTGGATGTTGGTATAAGTGAAGGCAGGTCAGTTGATGGAATGGGAGTGTGAATGTTAGTCTAAGAGAAGGCAGGTCAGTTGAGGAACGGGAGAGTGTTATTGTTGGTATAAGAAAATGCATATCTGTTGAATGAGCGGGACGTGATGTTGGTATGAGAAAGAGCATATCTTTTGAGGAATGGGGTGAATGTTGATGTGAGAGAAGGCATCTCAGTTGAGGGAGCGTGAATGTTGGTATAAGAGAATAAATTCAATTTGCTATTGGTGCGTATGTGGACATGGCAGTTAATAAGAGCTTTTTGTGGAAGTGGTTCTTGGCGCGAGAGTGGGTGTGGCTTGTGGTTACTGAATGGACATGTTTTTTGTTTGAGACAGCGTGTCAGTGTCCGTATCCCCATGTCAATATCTCTAGCAAGTTGAAAGGGAGCACGAGGCAAGGCAGGGGTGACACGTGTGTAAACAAGACTTTATCAAATGCCGCATTTGATCGGCAAATTACCTGTTATCAACATGACCATATCTCTGAAGTAGCCACTTTCCTGTCACTCGGCATTGTTTCAAGCAATTCTTACAAGACGACACTCAAATATGAACAGAGTACGTAGACGAAGTGAGCTCGGCAACGCCAGAGCAGATTGTAGATTAAGACAAATTTATGAGCTTTAATTAATGTGAATGTGAGTATGAAGGCTTATTTCATTGCTGGGGAAATAAAATGAAGGTCTGTGTCGTGTTTCAGACAAGTCAATGGGGTCGGCTCGCACACTGGAGGTCCATCGCCTCCAGGCATAGATATAAGATCGTTCAGTTGATTGCAAGGGAGTTATACACTCCTCTCCATTAATGTACTGATGCCTATTGTCGCACTTCAGATGGCCAGTATAAGAAACGATATGCAGTCACTCATTCAAGATGCACTTACCTGTAATGTTCACCCGTTTTATACATAGCACACAGACTGGTATTATACCCTTTTACCCTTTGGCAGGTGCTCATTATTTCTGACAGCGCACATTTGAAAGATTGTATGATCTAAGGCATACGGTCTTAACACTATTCATATCTATGTTACTTATGACATCATACGGGTGATGCGATGTGACTAACCGCTGTAATAATAAAACATTGATAAGTGGGTGTGGTCGATGACAGTCCCCCGTCTACTCACCACTCGCCCAGCTTCGTTGTTGTGTAAGTTGATCATGTAACGGAAATCCCAACCTTTCTCAATAACGTCAACAAATCGCCGGGAAAATTTGTGTCCAAACTTTGCGTTGTCACTGCAACCGCTCCATTCCCAGTCCTTCCCACTTGGAATTTTATTATGTGCATAATCACATGTGCACGTGTGAACAGTTCCCTCCGAGCATGCCCTTGCTATGGAGTGGGACACTGCTGCACTTGTAAGGGCATAGATGAAGGCCGACTCCCGACAACCTACAATAAACACAATTATTGGTCATTATCAGTACAGAGTAGAACATAGCATTTAGACATATCACGGGTTTTCCATAGTATATCCACTGACTAACAATAATATTTATCTTTATTAATAAAAATGTACAAATGTTACATGAAGCGTATACAGTTGTGTATACATTGCGTTAGGCAGTCGTGGTGGTGGGCTCAAGGGTAGAGAGCCATATCAACAAGTGAATGGCCATTGGCAGTCAGACTCAATTCAATACTCTCGACGACCCAAAACAACATTAATCAAACTAACGAGACATAAAAATATTCAAAATAACTTCAATAATGGCAGTAGCTCCTGGTCTTGTTCATCAGTGGTGGAACGATATATATCGTTCCACCACTGATCAACATATATACTGTGGCAGTGATTTCAATCCCATCGCCTCGGTATCATGACTTTCTCAACACGTTTTTGCAATAAACGTAAATGCAAAATTGTTTTCAGAATTTTATTCGTAAATACTATGATAATGCTAAAGCTTTGGCATTCATTATTTATTGACATAACAAAGATTCAATGTACTAATGACGAAAATATTTATATGTAACCCTCATTACTTTCTCTCAGTTAGTTTAGTCGGTTCCCCAACACAAGACATTTCAATGCCATCTATTACCGCGCGGATCATAGAGGTAAAGGTATTGAGCAGCAACAAGAACATTGACGGTTTGAGAGCTTCCAGCTCCTGCATGTTCTAAAAAGTAGCAAAATGGTTATATCAAACTTATGACAAACATGATATAATTAGATATATCATATAGGATATAAAAAGGCGCATGGTATGCTTGCTAAGTAATGAACTGTAAATAAAAAAGGTAAATATGATTTTAAAGGAAAAGAATGAAGCATTCTTACATATCTCAAAAACAAAACAAAACATACATCAACAGCATGTATATGTCTAAAAATTCCAGCTTCCATAATAACCTGATGTACCTATCTCAAGTTGCCATCACAGATGATTACGTTTTAAAAAAAACATATTTTGAAAATCTCTAAAGGTTTAAGGGGTATGTGTGTCTCCCTTATTCCTCTCTTGGTGTCAATATTTGACTACCTTGAAGGGTTGGTTGTACGGACAACGATAAACATACCACCTTCAGCATAGACGATTACACGATTCGGTATCATATGACACAATATATAGACAGCCTAACTATTGTAATCTGCAAATAGCATACACGTTTTCACTGGTAAACGTATAAAAGTAAGTATGGAATCGAAATCATTGATTGCTTTAGTTATAAAGAAAAACACAGAATCAAGTCCTTGTGTTACTTTACAACAGTATTTCTAAGGCTAAAGCAGTGTTAAAGCTGGTGACACAGGCACTGTGTTTAAAACATAGAGCCATCATATTTTTTGTCGACAGTTAACGCAGCAGTCGTAGCACGAGTGACTATCACTAAATGAAGGACCGATTTTAAATAACATGTGGGCTTTTCAGTAGTGATCCAGTGAGGGCTGTGACAGCCATTTGTTGGCAATGGTGTACAAAAAGAGGTCGATAACAATGCAGTGCACATGTCAGAAGCTGAGCACACAATAAAACATAACAATTTCAATTTCAAACTTGTTTCTGTATGTGAAAGTGTTCACGTAGGCAGAGAGGGCCCATCGTAACTTTCCCTGAATGCAGTATTGATAATAATTGTCACTTTTACATATGTGCGTCAAATGGCATCATATTTGTATACATGAAGAAGTGTGTACGTCAATGCAGTAGGATATATCCTGCTGGTTTGTTTTGCGGTTTCCTGCATTTAGAGAAAAGAAACATCCTACATTCGTACGTCGATAGTTGCTCCAGCAATATAACACTCTTGCTGTTGATATATACTGGAGAAATGTGTAATTCTAAAATATGACATGAATATCTATCATGTGTTTTTGTCCCGTAATGGTATCAAAATCGTGACAGAATATACAGTAAATGTTCACAAGAGTACCGTAAGTCTTGATAGTGTCATTATTTTGCGCCAGGATTACATCACTCGCTAATGTGTGTAGATAATGTATGTATATATTTTTACATTATCCCGGTTTTGCGTTATTTCGTCTATTTAGTCTTTACTCCCCCGGGACATTTTCTTTCAGACTGTGTAGTTGTTACTGATCGTTAATTGGCATGCATTATTGATGTGTTATCGATACCTTGCTAACTAACTAAATGTTCTACCTCCAGCTTTCTTTGTGTCCAGGAATTCATAGGTAATGGTAGACAGGTCTGCAAAACCTCCATGTGCATACTGATTTGAGTCATCATTTGAATCACTCTAAAGGAGAATACATCGTTATACAGTCGGTATACATCTGAACAACTGGGACTACGTGTCTGAAAAATATTATTCCATATAGTTACAGTCTATGTGATAAGGTGTTGGAGTAGATCAAAATACTAGTATTCAAAGTTCTTTGCCAGATGCACAAGTCTTTGATGAAAGATTCCCCACAGATACCACCATAGATACCATGAGACTCCGAACTGGTTATGTAGACAAGTCCTGAATGCCGCATATTTGTGTTTTGGGGTTTTGCAACAATGTTTTCAACTCTAAGTGAAACTAATCATGTTCCATACGCTTTTCTGAACGTATGTTAGCAAATGTTGTCAGTGGCTACGAAATAAGTATTCTTCCACTGGCTCGTCTCAAAGTACATGCAGAGTAGAAATCGTTGTAAATGCCATTCACCACTACGAGGTAAACATTTGGAAGACTGTTTTCTTTCAGAAAAATGTCTTATTAAGGTGCTATTCCCAATTTCCACTTTTTTGGCTTGTCTTGATTCATGGAATAATGAAATCTAGTTTTAAGATTAAGATTGAATTTAGAAATAAGTTATCACGAGAGTATGTGATGTGTACATATATCCCCTGTATGTCAGTGACATGGCAGACATACATCTTTCACTGATAACGGGCTGAATGGTGATACATACGTTACATCAAAACTAACCTTGCATTTACTTCAATTTGAATTGCATTGTATCTTAATAAATATAAGTGCCTCTATATTTTTCTTCTCAGGAAATCGTTCACTCGTGACAATCTGCGAAACACGTTTTAATATGTAAATAAGTCACGTGCACGTTTAACAACAAATCACCGTTTTCAGTCTCTATCAATTATTTATATGTATTATGTCATATATGTGTCTAATGTAGGTATGGGGTCGTTCGTTCGTTTGTCAGATGAAACCCGTAAACCATTAGGCCTTCGATAAGCTCAGTCAACAATTTGCAGATGACGGCCATATGTAACAACGACGGTGACTCATTAAGGCTGATATAATTTGAAAGCGCCACTGCAACGGTAGCCATTACCTATTTCTCATTATCGATGGACAAGAGACTCGGTAGCAAACCAGGGTATGGGATTTGAAGTTCGATGCAGAAATCCACAAGTTCTAATTGATCGAATATGACAATCGAAAGCATAAAAATGTTCGAACTCCGATCACATTTCATACGAGTAATTTTCTTCTTTAATATGTAAATTTAGAGAGGAATATCGAAACAACAAAAAGCATTATCTAGATTGGCAAAACACAATGTCAAAAAAATAAATTTATACATTTATAATGTAAAGCTAGCATCATCGTATGAACAAAGGCGTACATTATGTTTGGCAGGTATTAAGTAGTATTTATGTCTTGGGATCAAAGGAAATGTTTTTGTTCTATGTTTGAAAGTTAAGAAGAGAAAAAACATGGTTGAATCAGAATTTCAGTAACGTACTCTACAGCTAAATCAGTACTGCGAACTAATTGGGTCATTGTTATGGTAAACATGTAGTGTTTTTTATTTATTCATACAATGAATTCTGATATCAGCAATATCTGTTTCGTCTACAATATCTTAAATATTACATCACCAGACCCGGCTTTCTACCTGCACATGGTTTGTCCAATATGTATCATGTCGTACAAATCGATGAATTAGATTATTGTTTTTAATGCAGATTTCCTGTGGTATGTGCATTGTCCCAACAGTAGGTATATATACATGGTGCTGCTGCTAACACACACCGGAGGTACGCTTAGTGAGTAAGCCTGAAGGTGAAGAGGTAATAATAACTTGCTTGCTCACGCCAGACGAAACGTAGGCGTGTACCAACTACAGCCTACTGATTATGGGTATCTGACTAGTCAACCGTAGGAAGCTGGGCGTAATGTTAGGAACTGTTTCTCGAATTAAGGTAGTTGTGAAAATGAAGGACATTAAAAAGTAACTTCTCCGATATAAAATCAGTGAAATTAATTAAGTTAGTCATAGCGGCAACACCATCCTGCCCAGTCTGACAACTTGCTTAAATCGATAACCAACCTAAACTAATAGAGTTTACAGAGCTGAGTGGTAGATGTTTTCCTAGCTACTCCCGTACTAAAGTGTTATTTTATTGACATGACATCCTGGGGAAATGGTCACCTTTAGTACACTGCATTTAAGAGTATCTTGGAGGTCTTCACTCAATAGTGATTACAGTCATGTTTATGTTCGCTCTAAAATTACATTTCACTTGCGATGTGGTTGCAGCTGTTAAGTTAAATAAGTGCATTGATACTTCATTTGAACTGACACAGTAGGAAGTCAGTCCCGATATGGCGGCCCGGGTACAGGTACGCCAGTCCAACAGCAACTCATTTCTTGTGCACAGATGTAATAAACTACACATAATATACAAACAACGACCATAGTTTCCAAAACCTATGCATTGGGATCTGTTGGTTTGCTTTCGCACCACCATTGCTATCAGTATAATTATAATGAGTATTAATCTAGAGAGACCTACTGTTAGGACTGTCCATACTTCGATCAGTAATATACTGATTATCATTGTAGACAGAGCTACTGTCAGGGCTGAAAACGCTACGGTCAGTAATATACTGATTATCATCATACAGAGAGTTACTGTCAAGACTGCCAACACAACGGTCAATAAGACACTGATACACATTGTAGA